CATTTTTGGGGGGAACACATTCATTTTAGGGGGGAACACACTCATTTGGAGGGGGAATATTGACTTTAGGGGGGGAACACACTCATTGGGGTACAGGGTTCTGGTCTCCCCCCCACCCTCCCAGGAGGGGTCAGACCCTCCCCTCGCCAAGACTGAGGTCCCCCCCACCCCAGAGGAGGAGCAGTCCCATGGGGTGCCAGCTGGACACCCCCCCCACCCACCACCTCCCCCAGTTCCCCCCAGTGTCCTACAGCTCAGGCCAGGAGGTGAACTGGAGATGGACCACGGTGCGCTTGAGGCTCTGGTCGCGGTACTGGAGCGTGATCATCCTCTCCACGTGGGTGGGGGTCACCTTCAGGCTGGTGAGGACCAGGGTGATGGGTCCCTGCACCATGGGCTGGCCCCGCTCCGGGGGGAAGTATCTCAGCACCTTCTGCTGCGGGGAAGGAGGGGGGGGACACGCCATCAGGAGCTGTGACACCCCCCACCCAGGGCCACCATCTCCCCCTGGGACCCTGGAGATGCCACACAGTGACACCAGCACACGAGGAGAGGCCCAGGGATGCCACTGTCCCATCCCTGGAGGCCATGGTGGGTCCCACCCCACCCCAGCTCCACCACCTCCCCCTGGGATGCTCCCAGTCCCCATCAGGGCCTGGAGATGCCACGTGGTGACCCCAGCACACGAGGAGAGGCCAAGGGATGCCACCATCCCATCCCTGGTGGCCACACAAAACCCCACCAAGCTCCACCCAGACCCCTGGGACCCTGGAGATGCCACACGGTGACACCAGCACATAAGAAGAGGCCCAGGGCTGCCACCGTCCCACCCCTGGTGGCCACGGCGAGTCTCACCCCACCCAACTCCACCACCTCTCCATGGGACCCTCCTGTCTCTCCCTGGTCCCCATCAGGGGCTGGAGATGCCACATGGTGACCCCAGCACATGAGAAGAGGCCTAGGGATGCCACCACCCCATCCCTGGTGGCCATGCCATATCCCACCCAGCTCCACCACCTCCCCCTGGAGATGCCACATGGTGACACCAGCACATGAGGAGAGGCCCGGGGATTCCACCACCCCATCCCTGGTGGCCACAGCGAGTCCCACCCCAGCCCAGCTCCACCAGGGAAGGGTCTACCTTGTCCAGCTCCTGCTCCGACACCAGCATGACGATGACAGAGACCTTCTGCTCGTAGATCATCAGCCAGAAGTCGGCGGCGGTGCCCAGCAGGGGGGCCTGGGTGGCGATGATGGTGGGGCAGTAGGGGGAGAGGTCCTCCACCCTGCTGGCGTTGATGTAGTCGTCCTTGCCCGAGCGCAGGACCACCCGGTTCCTGTCGTAGGGCATGATGTCCTGGTGCCGGTTCTTCATGGAGTAGCAGCGGGCGATGGCGATGGAGAGCTGCCGGGCGTCCCGTTCCTGGGCGTCCTGCAGCTCCTTCCAGAGGGTGTCCAATTCGGTTCCACCACCGGCTCCGGGTCGCTCCAGCCCTTCCACCAGCCCCCGGAACCTCTCCAGCTCCCCCAGCAGCCGCAGGACCCGCTCCGGCTTCTCGTAGGGGTCGTTCTCGATGAGCTGCATGGCCTTGGGCTTCTGCCCCTCCTTGGCGTCCGCCTTGGTGGGCTGCAGCAGGGGCTGCCCCACCGCCGCCTTGGAGCCCCCGTGCTGGCTCTCGGGGCTGGAGGACAGCAGGTCGTCGGTGGAGGAGCTCTGCCGCTGGAAGGGGACCTCCCCGGGGCCCTGGGGGGGCAGGGGGGCCGTGCCGGGTGTCAGAGAAGGGGGGGGTCTCTGCGGCCCCAGCA